GCAGCAATTTTGGGGGTGTACTCCACAACTTCCACACTTACAGCGAAATCTCATCTTTGTACTTCGACAGCCTTGGGCGAAATGGCCGCCTCCGTCGTATCGTCTGCAAGCGTTTCGAGGGTCTACTTACCACCCTTGCTGATCTGATTTGGCGCTGTACTCCTTTGGTGTACTCTGATTCCGATCTTTACGTGCTGCTGGTAACATTCTGCTCCTTCTTGTGGACCTGGTCTTGTAGCGCCTTCAAACTTCCTTACTTGCTCTCGCCTTTCGTTATTGTGTGGTTACCTATACCCCCCTTCGTCCACTTTCATAGACTGGTACCACTCTTCTGGTCGTCGAGGTACAAATGATCGTATTGCTCTTAATGGCTCTCTTTCGGGGGAATATTCTCGAAAACTTCTACCAAGTCCACTAATTCTCCAAGACTCATGAACTCACTTCATTTAACGTGCAGTTGATATTCTAGATGAGAATTTCGATATATGCGGCTCAGCGTTCCTTCGGCCGTGTAGTTCGCGTGCCGCAAAAGTCCTTGTACCACCTGGACGTAATCTTTAAATCGCTCACCCGTTCGTTGAAAGCTTTGTCGTATCTTGTCCAATTGCTCTAAGTACCGCGAGCTAAAGTGGAACTTCAGCAAGTCCTTTTTAAAAGTGTGTCATTCCTGCGAGTGCCGATTGTTGTTTCGGAACCATACGGGAGCCTTGTTCTTTATTAGCTCTGGTAGCGCTCGTGGAATTGAGTAAAGGCTAATATCGTTATTGAATAATATTCGATCGAATAAACTACTTTCAGCACGCAGGGAAAAAATATAGCGGTTGTAGCTGAGAGTGTAGATAAAGACCGTGGAAAGCCGATTCGGCGTCGTTTTCTGCAACTGCGATTGACGTAAGGAATGACTTGGCGCATTTTACTTCGAGATTTTAAATTCGAAGATTTTGGATCTTGGAAAGTACTATGAAGAGCCGAAGTTTTCGAAGCCGTTTAGATCGAAGAGCAGCTTCCAGAGATTTAAGAACTGGCATTTCATCCAGAAAACACAACGGTTAGTACAAAAACAAAAATGAGTGAGAGGCGGCTAAGCCCGCCGGATCGACGGCTCTCAAATGCCTATTTTTCTTATTTCGAGCAAACAACGCCAACACAAGCAACGGCAAAAGAAATCAACACGCAAGCAGAAGACTCTCAGCAGTACTCAGCAAGCGCTAAACAGACGGCGAAGTCGACAGAAAAACACGAGAAAAAAGGTAACAGCAAGCAAACCACCCAGCAGGAAATTGCCCACCAATACAAATGAAACGGAGCTGGCAAGCGGTAAGCCCAATGAAATTAAAAGGAACATAATAATACGGACAGGACTAGATCGCATATAAATATGAAGGGGAAATCAATGAGTGGAACCAGCGTAAAAATCCAAGAACCCTCCAGTAGCAACCGATTTGCTTTATTAAGTGAGGACAGCATTAAGGGTACTACCACAGTTACAAATGTCAAACCACCGGCAATTTACTTGCTTGAACGTGTCTCAGACACGTTAGTTAATAACATTACAGGAATAGTCGGCACTAATAACTTTCACGTTGTGCCTTTTAAAAAAGGTACTATAAAACAAAAATTCAAACTTACAGTGAAAAAAGCTTCATAAGCTTCATGCAAATAGTAAGTTTTCTATTGTCGAGTAATAAAAATTATTACTCATATCAACTAAAGAGCTCGAAAGGCCTAACAGTTGTAATTAAAGCTATTAAATCCTCAGTCAAGCGAGGTGAAATGAAAGAGTCTCCTGAAGAAAATGGTTTTTGTACTAATTTGGTTATAATTATACTTAATTGAAGTAAAGTACCCCAGCCAATGTTTGAGGTAGAACAAGAGCCCGATTCAAGTCAGGTAAAGAAAAACGAATTCCATCCCATATACAATTTAAAATATTTGCTACATCGTAGGATAACAGTAGAAGAGCCACACAAAACATAGGGCCGAGCGCAATGCATGTGAGGACCTACATCCTAAGTCTGAATGCACGTCAAAGAAAAATGATGCCACCCTCCCAGTTATAGGGGCTGCCCTGTATATAAAGATCTAAAAGTTAGGTTGGCAAATAATTTCCAAACTCACCGAAGTCAAATGGTAAATACTCCTCAAATCTAATTTGTAGAAAAAGATACGGATAAAACTGTTCCAAACGTACAAAATATGAAACAAAATAAATCATCTTATACCAATGTACTGAAGAATAATTCAGATAATATTCCACAGAACCAATCTAATGGAGGTATAGAATCGATGATTTTGAACCTTACGCAGTGCATGACACAGTTCATGTCAACTATGCAAAGCATGATCCAAGACTTGCAAACGGTGTGAACCAACATAAATTGACACGATTTTTAATGAAGTATGCTATAGACGTAATGTTATTGTCTGAAATGCACTTGACAGATAAATATAACTTTTATATACCTGGGTTCATATTCTACCCACTAACCATCCTGATGGCAAAGCGCACGGCGGCATTGGAATACTTCTAAAAAACCGTCTTAAACCCTGCATCTTACAGCCCTCCGCCACCGATTACCTACAAGCTACATCTATAACCTTGAATAATCATGGCAAAAAGCTAAATCTCTCAGCCATTTATTGCCCTCCAAAATTTAAGATCACAGAAAATCAATTTAAGGAATTTTTTGATAATCTTGGTGATAGACTTGTAGCAACAGGAGACTGGTCGTCAGTTATACAATACCCTTATAAATAAACGTAACAATTTGGATTGTGTTTCTCCAGGTCAACCAATATGCTGTCGTACCGATCGGAAGAAAATACCAGACTTAATTGCTGTCTCAAGCAAAATCGACAGGCAGCTTGTATCAGCTGTGACAGGTGCTGAGTTGTCTTCAGACCACTTACCAGTTCTAATAAAAATTTACGAGCGCCCGAAGATAGTTGCACAAGAATCAAGACTAACAAACAGAGAAACCAACTGGCTAATATACAAAAAATATACTAATAGTCAAATTGACATCAACCCCGTATTGAATTGTGAAAACGATATTGATGACTACATTAATGAGCTAAATAATGTCCTTGTTTCTGCGGCAACCATAGCAACTCCAAAAAGTAAAAAGCCTACTTCGTGTCCAAAAATTTTAACAAATACAGAAATAGAAGAACTAGTAAAGAATAAGCGCCGTTTGCGGAGAGAATGGCAAGAATATCGCTCTCCAGCAGCAAAGTTACGGTTGAAAGTAGACGAGAGGAAGCTGAAAAGTGCACTGAAACAAGCAGAAGATCATGCCAAGGCATACATAGAAAAACTAGGGCCAAATTCTGCTAAAAAATACTCACTGTGGAATGCACAAAAGAAATTTAAGCCTCCAATAGAAATGAATATGCCAATCAGGGACCCAAATGATAACTAGGCACGTAGTAACGATGAAAAGGCAAATTGCTTTGCAAAGCATTTAAGTAATGTATTCCAGCCAAATGACGCAACTTATAATTTTATTCTGCCGGAATTTGCTGTTAACGGCCAGGAAAATCAGGTGGCAATTAAAATATCAAGCCTAGAAGTGGTAAACGCGATACAGAATCGCCAGGCCACGACCTCATTACATCTAAAACGCTAATAGAGCTACCAAGAGTTGCACAAGCATTGCTCTCTGAACTCCTTAATGCCATTCTAAAACTAAATTACTTACCAAACGCGTGGAAAAGGTCGCAGATATTAATGATAGTCAAACCAGGCAAAGACCACACAAGGCGGCGTCTTACAGACCAATAAGCCTATTACACAGTCTTTCCAAATTATTTGAAAAAATTCTGCTATCAAAAATATCTCCTTTCCTCCACCGTAACAATGTGATACCAGATCACCAATTCGGCTTTCGTGAAAAGCATAGTACTATCAAACAAGTCAACCGAATAACTAATTAAATCACAAAGACATTCGAGCTCTAAGAGTACTGTTGTGCAATCTTTCTTGACGTAGCACAAGCGTTTACTGTACAAAATACATAAGGCTCTGCCCGTTCAATTTGATATGATAGTTATGTCATATCTGACTAACAGACAATTTACCATTAAACAATCTGAATTTATTAGTGAGGAGTATTTCGTAAGAGCTGGTGTTCCGCAGTGTAGCGTCCTCGGACCTATTTTATATATCATATACACTGCAGGGATCCAATTAAACCTTTATCCCTCATCGAAGAATGGCTAAAAAACTGGAGAATTAAAGTTAATGAACAAAGGTGTAAGCACGTCACATTTACTTTAAGACCTCAATCATGTCCTGCAATTCGCTTAAATGGTATAAACATACCATAAACATAAACATTCTCTATTCTAAAACTAGACAAAGTCCTTATTTACAACGCAGTATTAAAACCAATTTGGATGTACGGTATTCAACTGTGGGGTACGACCTGTGCAACTAATATTGATAAAATACAGAGGTTCCAGTCCAAAATTTTGAGAGCACTAACGGGCGCACCATGGTACGTTCGTATCGTAAATATTCATCAAGACCTTGGTATTTTACTGGTTAAGCCTAAAATTGAAAGAGGCAGGACAAAGTACTTCACAAAGCTGAGAAATCATCAAAATCCGCTAGCTAATGCTTTATGCAACCCATCGAGAAATTCCCGCCTGCAGCGAAGAAATGTTCCCGCCTTCTAAGGAGAGCGCTGTAGTTTGAGAAGGGCTCAGAGTTAAATAATTCGAGCTGTCATGTTTGTAATTTAGTTTTTAAGATCCAGTAAATAAATTAATTCTGTATAAAAAAAAAATTTCGAGTGATAATAAACTTTACCAATTAAAATACACCATTTGATTTTTTTGTGTTTTTCCTATGAAAAAAAGTAGGAAACCCCGAAATAGATTAGCCTTTATACAAACAGTTTTTTTTTTATAAATTATTATTTATTATTTGAACAATGTGCAATATCCTAATATAATTAAAATGTTATTGTGATACAATTACTTTATTTTTTTTCCAGGAGCTGTATATGAATATAACATCATTATATCCTATATTTACTCTGTCAACTTTACTTCCCGGCAACCTTTATATTATATTCGTATATGCGTCTAATTTAAAGGGTTGTTCAGATGCTACTATCTTAACTATTGACGTAGTAAAATCCAAAGAAACGCAGTTAAGCGCAGGCAAAGGTAATACTATAAATGTCACAAAAAATATCTTGAGATATTATATATATAATTCCGCTTTGTAAACGCTGAAGAGATTTTCGGCCGAGGTCCTCCTTCAATTAGTGGTTTGCGGCTTGGGACCTATAGCTTATTCTAAGCCGCCTCTGAACGGTCGATAAATTTTTATGAGGTGTTTTTTTATTTTAGATGTTGGTAGAGCCGTAGCCTTCCGAATGGCAGTACGCAATGCTAATGACTAAGCTATTACTTTTAACATTATACTTATCTTTCTTAAAGGAACAAAAAATAAAGAGTATTGCCATTTCTCTAATTTCAAATACTCCAAAACTTCTTCTTTAAGACTTCATGTAATAATTCTAGAACTTTTGATGAATACAAATATATCATATATGTATATTTTATTTTACAAATAAATTAGTTTTATCTAATACTGAATTATAAGTTTTTATCGAATACTGAATTTTTCCGTCAGAATTGTATACTTGAGATTTGTCCTGTCTTAGTAAAGCGTGGTTTGTAAAGCCATTTTGGCCTTTTCCAGCCATATATAACTGTTATTTTTTAATTTAGCTTTACAAAGAAACAGATGTATCACTTACTAATATCATCGTTAAAAATTGTTCTGCAATTCTCACAGAATTAAGATATTCGAAGAATTCAATTCTTACCAATTGTCACGGAATTGCGTTCGGCGATACACAAAGTACTGGCAAAATTTCAGCAAGTAATTAAAGTCGATTTCCAACAACAATGCGCCATTCGTTTCTTCTTTTTGCTGTTTGGAGCCAATTGGAAATACCAAGTACAGTCACGCCCTTCTCTACGTGGTCTTTTTAACGGAGTGGAGGTATTCCTCTTCCTCTGCTTCCACCGGCGGGTACTGCATCGAAAACTTTCAGAGCTGGAGTATTCGCATCCTTCCGGACCGCATGACCCAGCCAGTGTAGCCGCTGGTTCTTGATCCACTGCATTATATCGATGTCGCCGTATAACTCGTACAGCTCATCGTTCCATCGTCTGCTGTATTCGCCGTTGCCAACGTTCAAAGGACCATAAATCTTACTCAAAACCTTTCTCTCGAAAACTCATAACGCCGTCTCATCAGAAGCTGTCATCGTCAACGCTTCCGCACCATATAGCAGGACGAGAACGATGAGGGCTTGTAGAGTTTGGTTTTGGTTCGTCAGGATAGGGCTGTATTTTTCACATGCCTACTCAGTCTAAAGCAGCACCTGCTGGCAAAAGTGATTCTGCGCTGGATTTCAATGCTGATGTTATTATTGATGTTATAGCTGGTTCCTAGATAGACGAAATTATGTACTCCTTCAAAGATATGACTGTCAACAGTGACATGGGAGCCACTGTTTGTTTGACGACAGGAGATATTTTGTATTTTCCTCGTTTAGAACCACACCCAATCGCCTTGCTTTTTTATCAAGCCTGTCAATATGTCAATATCATCGGCGTACGCCAGTAGTTGTACACTCTTATAGAAGATTGTACCTTCTCTATTCAGCTCTGCTCGGCAAAGAGTTTCCCTGTCTGAAACCTCGTTTGGTATCGGACGGTTCGGAGACGTCCTTCCCAATTCTGATGTGGTTTAGCGTCAGCTTATATAGCCTTATAAGTTTAGCGGGGATACCAAATTCAGACGTAGCGGCCTATTGGCAGCTCCTTTTCGCGCTGTAGAAGGCTGCTTTGAATCGCCGAAGGGGTTGTGTGTGTCGATCCTCTTTTCGAGAGTATTTTCCAAGATTTTTCGCTTGGTGAATATCTGGTCAATGGTTGACTTACTAGGTCTGAAGCCACGCTGATATGGTCCAATCAGTTTGTTCACGGTGGGCTTCAGTCCTTCATACAATACGCTCGACGGGATCTTATAGGCGATGTTAAGGAGGTTTATCCCACGGTAGTTGGCGCAGTTTTTTATCAATTGGGCAGAGCGCACGTAAATTCCAATTATCGGGTATCTAAAAATTACTACAGCGGCTTTTTAAAGGATTGTAAATTTGGTCTTGGTTATGTGGTGGGAGAGAGATTCAGTCTTCGAGTACTACCATTCGCTGAGGTAGATGAGCATCTCGTCACAATTCGCATCAGATAAAAATTTTGCAAATGCTCCATACCCCGATGGTAGAGAATGATGGTGTGATCAACGACGCTTTTTAAGATCGCTTAGAACGCAACAAGCCCTTCAGACAAAATTGTGTTTGGCGAGGCAAAGTAAGTATTTTCAACACAGCAATTTGGAAACTCAGTCAGCATCCTCAAACGGCCTGACGTTAATGACCTTCGCCAAGGTCCGAAAAATGCATGTCTGTTGTACTAGCGTCCCGCACAAAAAAATACATCAAGCTACTTGGGTGTCTCCAGCTCGGAAATCGCGCAAGAAAAAGGAAGAGGCCGAAATGCGTGAGTAAGAAGAGCTGGAGAAACTGGCCAAAAATGGAAATGCTTAGAAAACATACGGCGACTTATGGAAGGATTTCAGAGCGGAGTAAACTCTTATAGAGAGCTAGTGACGGATGCCCAGACTATACTGAATCTATGGAGGAAAAACTTATCCAGCCAGCTGAATGGCAGTAAAAAAAGAAGCAACCGGGGATAGTGGACCCGAAACTACAAATGACTACGATGGAAGGTTGTTCCGTTATCCGACTATGAAGAAGTCCGAAAAGCAATCGCCTGTTCAAAACAAAATCGGCGGGACCGACGGACTACCGGCCGAGCTATTCAAACATTGCGGTGAAGAGATGTATCAACTTCTTTGCAAAGTATGGACGGATGAAAGCATGCTGAAAAAAACATTGCATTGCAAAGAACAAAAGCAAAAACATTGATAACTACAATAATAGCGGAATAGAATTACTGGTCCGAATTAAGCGATGTTTGCGTCGTGAATGGCTAGCGTACGGATCTCGAGATTCAAAAATTCGTCTTGAGATGGCGGAAAACACTAAATAAGGCATTAAGATAAGAAGAAGTGAGAAATATTAAAAATCTTACAACATCTTTGTCTCCCAACGTTTCTACTAAAAAATCTCCATGGAAAGTTAGCAAAAACCTTAAGCCGCCAGTAAGTACTGAAGTACTGTTGAGACTGCGTCTTGTTTAGCAGAGCACGTCAGTACAGTATTTCAACCAAATACTGATGCAAATAGTGCACCTTTGTTACCGAACATATCTCATCAAAAATGCTAACAGAATTGCCAAGCATTGCTCTCACTTTTCTTGCAAACCTTTTCAATATGGAAAAAGTCGAAAATAATTTTGAAGCTAAACCAGGTAATTATACAACCCTGCCGTCATCCTATAGACCAATCAGCCTGCTGCTTAGCCTATCCATCAAAATGATATTATACCTATCATCAATTAAAAATCATTACCTAACACTCTACAATATCCTTGAAGCCTTCTTATCCAACAGGCGGTTCAAGTAAAAGTAAATGAATATACAGAAGAGTATTCAATCACGGCAGGTGTTCCGCAAGGTAGTGTTCTTGCACCAATCTTGCACATACTGTTCTCCGCAGATATTCCTACAAGTGACGAAGAAATTACTATAACATTTGAGGATGATACTGCAATACTAAGTCGACATAAATGCCCCATTACAGCCACAAAAGCGTTACAGCAGCACCTTACATTAATTTAAATAAAAAAAGAGTCGGACGAAGAAGGCAAACGTTTTTACCAGTCTACCGTTCGAAATGCGATACAAAGAAAAAACTGGATGCATTGCTTGCAAAAGTCTGCTGGTGGTCAAGAAATTTAAGCCATTTTGAAAATGAAGATAACCAATACCAACAAGATTTCTTGATACTAGAAAAATTTTAACCCATATCAAAATAATAAGAAAGTGCAAAAGACATTCAACTTCTGATTAAGAAAGTCTTGTTTGGAGTTTAGTGTTGCCTAGTGTATGTGACGAACTCTAAATTTAAGATCGCGTACTGATTGAGTTTTCGAGGAAATTAAGTATGTGCTTTCGGGAAAATAGTTCTCGGGATCTTCACATGGTGTTTCGGCTAGTTTGATTTCCGTTCTGTTCCAAGAGCAAGCACAATTGAATATGCGGCATTCTTTGGAGTTTCGCGGAAACCAGATTTGGCGGAGCATCTATTGCGATGATTGAATTATCATTAGTGAGATTTCCATTGGTGGTTGCTTCAGCTACAGACAAGTCATGTGCTGAGAAAATATAAATCAGGGACCATAGCGGCCTTGGGTTATTCCTGCTGAATTTTCATAGAGTTCAGTATATTTCGTTCTATGCATAGAAATACATAGTAATTAAAGGAGAGTTACGATTTAACTTTATAGAGTAGATCGTTGTGCCAAATATGATCAAATGCGTGGGATATATTGTGAAAAGTAGCTGTGCAATGTTTTGTTCTTCAAATGCATAGTATATTTTCTCAAGAAGTCTGTGAACCCATTCTATTTTTTAAATCTAAATATTATGCATTTTATGGTTATTTTTTTATGGTAAATTTTGACAATTTTATTATAGATTCCTTTGTATCTTTTTGCATATTTGTGAAGGTACGCCGGACAACAAAAAGTTTAGACTAAAATTAATTAACTTCTCATTTACTTGTGCCCTAAAATTTCTGTAGCATGTTGGTAAATACATCCGCTATAATCTGCGACTTCTTTTAGGCAAAATTTAATAATTTTTGGCGGCAATGAATACTGTAAATTATGTAATATAGAGCTTTCTTCACATGCGCATAATTACACTCCCGTCCTCTTTTGGACATACAAAATGTTCTAGTTTCCAATCAAGGTATATACTAATGTAGGAATCTACTTTAACATTTGTAACATGCTATTTTCAACTTTTAAGTTTTTATTCTACTGAATTTTTAATATCAAATATTTTCATTTTCTGAATTATTATAACTTATATTTTCAAACACATCAAATTATGAATAAGTTTTATTAAAAAATCTCGCTGATAGTCAAAAAATTGACATTTTCAGGTATATTCTGTCGAGGTAATAAAATTTACTTTGATATTAAAATTTACCATACGGATACTTGGACGGGACATCTTGCTGAATGCACAACAACGTCCCCAATTGGCAACTTCGTGCTAATCACTCAATTACTCAATAGGTTAATAACACCTTGTTGTACCGATTTATGTCTAAGATTTATGAATTGAAATTTTAATGAATTTTTAAATATCATGCTGAAATAAAAAAGCGCTCATAAAATAAAGACCAAAATAAAAAAGAACTCAATCCGCCAACTAAAATTTCGTCGGATTTTTGAAAAATCTGATCGAAATTATCTGGCGAATCGATTTTTTGATTTCCCCTTTTGTTAAATCATCGGGTTAGAACATAAATTCCGAAAGGCTTTTAGAGCATGAATATGCGATTCTGGTCGGATTCAATTCAGATCCCAATCGAAATCGGATTTCAGAACAACTATTAGAATCCGAACGTCAAAGGACACTTTAAAACCTGGTCATATGGCATTCTATAAAAATATTTTGTATTTGAAACAACTTGATTGACTTGATTAATAACCGTTGTTTCCAATCAAACAAATTCAACATCACATTATTGGCATATGTGTATGTATGTATATTAATAATAACACATGAATCGTAAAGTAGTTTAAATTAATATATGTAAGAGTTGCCTGTTTATTGATAATTGAAATGGTAGACTAAATAAAGGTTAATTGTTTCATTTTGCGAGTAATCCCAAAAAATAAAAACTAAACAAAACAATATAGAAATTAAATGGATCTCTTGTAGAATTTATTATTTAAGAAGAAACTTTAGTCAGCATTGTATCTGTTCTTTTTCATTATGGGATTATAGCCGAGTTAACAGCAGCAGTCTTCTTAGCGTCCCATTTCTGAGCTTTGCCAGCTACTCCATGCTTCCTCTACTTCCGTCTGCGGGTATTGCACCAAACATTTTTGAAGTTAGAAGTTGTATGGCTGGGTCGTTGCCAACGTGGCGGTTGATTATTTAGTTGCTGAAGTTCCATCGTCTGCGGTATTCACCGCTGCCAAAGCTGTGAATTATCCGTAAAGCTTTCGTTTGGAAAACTCTGGAAAACTTTTAATCAGGACGGTAATCTTCATCGTGAGATTTATTGTACTCTGTGCGTTGGGAACGGCGAAAATTTCAGTCGACAGAGCAATGAGTTATGCGAAATATTCAGTGAAATTGGCATAGTTCAACAAACCAAGAGTCCACGGCTATAAGTAAAGAAACTCCAGCTTTTAAAATGTTCGACGTAATATCCACCGATGGAAATAGTAGACCTTCACTCCATTGGAAAACCCATGTGGAGAGATTTCCATTTGGCGCCAAACAGATTAAGCGGTGTATACACCAGCTTAAAATGTTGTCCCACACTTGCGATATACCTAGTTTCTGATGAGCACTCTCGGAGAGCAAGAGCGTAAGTTAAGTAGAAAACCGATCTGCTTTCTGTTTTGATTACTGCTTATCGACATTAACCTTACCTAATGTTCATTTTATATAATTTTTTTTTGTAAAATTTATTTAACACCTGAATGTTTGAAAATCAAATTTATTATATTTAAAAAAATTAAAATATTTAAACTATAAAACGAAAGTAACAAGGCGAATTTATAGAAGGTGATTGTCAAATCAAATGATTGCTTGTTGTTCCATCCATTTCAACAAATTACACAAACAAAACACATCAGAAATAGGTTTTAACATTACGAACTTTTTATTACACCAACAAAATATATTGAGCAAATCTCGTTTTTGACTTTTCGAAACTTCGATTACACAAACAAAATACATAGGCTTTTGGTTTTTTGTATTTTTGCTACTACTGTGCAAGGCGAATTTAACAACGTGGAGTTACTAGGGCAGCGAATTCGAATTTTTTTTTTTAACAAATTCGCTTCAGTGTAAAGATAGTCAAAATGCTTGTTTATGTTTTGTATGTTTATCTACGTTTCGTTTTTTTTTATTTTGAATTTTTAATTGTATGGCTGAAAGTTTTCAAATAAGATTTGTGACTTTTTCAAAAATAGAATGCGTTCCGATCTTGATTTGAGTTGAATTGACGCGGCTATAAGTCAGTGATCAACGCACTTAAGGCGACATGCTCATTTTGATATCGCTATTATGAGGCTTTTGTCTTCACTTTTTCAAATGTTCGAACCATCTCGTGTACATTATAAAAGCAACGAGATCGAAGCTATGTCTATATATACGTGTAATTAGCTCAACCTGACGTTAGTGTTCTATAAAATCTTCTTCTGCGGCAAATATCTTTATGGTGAAAGCTTATTTTTCCATGAAGCCATAACTGTCTGGTCAAGTTTCACGTGATCTTATTCTGCCATATAGTGTTTGCATTTTAGACAAAGTTGCCCTGTCTTAAACATGCATCTTGCAAATGCTTTATTGGAGAGGGCTCCTTATCTCACTAGTTCGTCTGCCGTGTGATAGCTTGGAGTGTCCGTGCACCCAAACTACGGCAGTGTTGCATTTAGTCGAGATTTTTCTTAGATTGCTTCTACATTTTATAGCCACTTTAGATGTGGTACTATTACACAATAGAGACTATCTGAATCTATCGAGCTTTGAGCCACCTGTAAAGATAGGTATGTCTTTTTGATCGAGGGCGTTTATTTTCACCAATCCACTCCTGTTTGGGATTCTTGTCGAAGTAATCCGTTGGATTTTGTATGTGTATAGAAAGGAGTGTTTTTTGTTTTTGTTCTCCTGCTCTCACCTTTATGAATTCGCCTTGCTACCGTGTGTAAACTTGTCTTTTAAAGTAACTTAAAAGCAAATTGAAACAAGCAAAAAACAAAAGGTAGACTCCCGATCATGTCATCCTTCATCGCAACGTGATCGATCTGGTTGCAAGTTTTGTCGATACGAAGACAACCATATACAACCAATTATTGTGCTATAATACCCGTCGAAGGTAATCAGTAGACACATCAATTCATTGAAAAACAATTTTTTATTATCACGCTGAATCGTTCTAAGCTACAATTAACAATGAAGAAGTGCATTCGTCTGTAAATTGCGCTCTAGGAAATTTGGTATTTCAGCTGAAACATTACTTAACAATACGTCCCATTAATAGTTCTGTAAGAAATGTAATCTTGTACAATTTATGTTTTTATTGACAACTAATTCAGTTTGCACATAATTTCAGTTCAAAATCACCGTGCCGAATTTGTATTGACACCCTTCGTATCACTTAGTATGGGATTAATCATTGCAGGATGCATAGCAATGTTGGCTATAATTATTACGCTCCGTACGACATGTACAAGCTCTGATCAAATGATAAGCGGATTTTCTCATGAGCATAACGTTTGGGATGTTTCTAGTCGCAGTTCTGGAAGTAAAGATATAGATATGATGGAGACTGATGAAATAAATCCAGATGTTATACCAGAGCTACTTGATTCTGAAAAACAGGTATTCAAAAAGCATATATTTAATTACAAATAAAATACAATATATACATATATGTATATATATAATTTTATATAATAATTAATATATATATATATATATATATATATAATAATTAAGCTTTTATTTGAAAGTTTATTATTTTATTGGTGCCCATAACCTTTTCTTTTGAAATAAATAAAAAATTTGAGCACATTATTTCTAACAGTATAAAAAAACTTTATTGTAGACCTTTAAAAACTCAAATTGAGTGTTTTCGGAAGGTAACTTTGAGCACTTACACTTTTATTTATATATCTAATTGGAGCTTTGTAACCGCTTAAGCGATTTTCGGCTGAGCTCCTCCTCCAATTTGTGGTTTCGCGTCTTAATGTTTTTTCCAACAAATGAAGGGACCAACAGTTAAGCCGCCTCCAAACGGCTAATGTTTTTTTATGAGAAGCCTTTATTTCATGTGAGAAATACAGTCGGAGGGGTTGACATTCCCAGCCGGGGGACGACCGCAATTAGAAAATTCAACTTAATTTTTTATTTAAATTAATTTTCTATTACTTTTGGATGTTGGTTGCACGGGGATTTGAACCCGAACCATCCAAATGGCAGTACGCAATGCTAACCATTAGGCTAACGCGACCGCTCTTGCATATATATGTATACGTATAATTTCCACTTTATAAACTCTCAAGCGATTTTGGGCTGAACTCCTCCTCCAATTTGTAGTAAGCGCATTGATGGTGTCGAAGACATGGGTGTAGATATAACATAATTTTAGAAAATGTGTAGCTTGCCCTTTTGAAAACTTACCTATGCACATACTGAACTGGGTGAACTCACCTTAAACCTGAAATATTCACATCAAATTGAACCTGTAAAGAAAAGAAAAGCTCAGATGTGAACATTAGCTATTAATAATAAGGAGTTTGCGGTAGAGTTTTCAATCGCTTGCTAAATCTCAATCCCTACGCTTATAAACCATGTGAATTAAAATAAGTGAATTTATAATATATTAAACAGATTGTTAAAACTTAAAACTCTAGAAGAAAAATTAGTTGGTGATAGTTATTTCACTTTAAATTAATTCAGTGCTCGCTCATTAATTTGGTGCCGAATACTCTTTAACGGAACCAAAATATATAAAACAAAAATATGCCAGAAACGAAAAAAGTTAAATTAAATTACCTGTGGGTATAAAAGTAGTCCGTCTTCCATCAATTTTAAACGCTCGATAAAAAAAGAAACAATTTAATTAGTGCCGGTATATAAATCAAATCCTTTGAAATAAATAAATATGCATATATCTAATATATAAAACTCTCGTGTCACAGTGTTAGAAACGATGCTCCGAAGAAACGGTTTTGACCGATTTTAATTAAATTTGAAGTGCATATTCAGTAGGTCTGAGACATAACATTTGTTTTTCACACCGGGAAGTGAACCAGGAATCGAACTATTCCATAAAAGTATATTTATGGTTCGATTTAATTAAAGCTCCGTACATAGGTAGCTTTTTGCTCAAGTTAACAGAAAGACTACACTTCTCTCTGGGAAGTGGACCGGGAACTGACCTTAAAATAAATTTATTAATGGATAGAATTACTTGAAATTCCTTACATCGATTGATTTGAAATTCGCTACATAGGTGTCTTTTTGCTTAGATTAACAGAACTTTTCTTCTCTCCGGGAAAAATACCAGGGACGGACTTATTCAAAAGTGTTTACCGTTTTTGAGGCTGTTTATTTTATTAAATGGGCGTGGGGCAACGTAACGACAGAAAATATTAAGAGCTGTTTTTCAAAAGCCACTTTTCAAAAAACTCCGTGTAAAATTTCTTATTTCGATGCAAAGGATTATATTCCCATATCGCAGATACCGGCTTTGATAAAGATTTTAAATAAAAATCGGAATACTTTTTGTTAATCGATGAAGTCCTCAATGAAGAAGACAATAATATTGACATTGTCTATATCAAATTTATACTGATGAAATTTCTGTCGGAGAACCTGAGGACGAGAGGGGAGCACGTGTACAGGATGAAAGGCATATTTGGGTCTATCCTGAGGCATTAGAGCGCAATCTTGAAAATTGTTTTATAAAACAAAAGCAGAAAAAGTTGCGGCAGATGAATATTTGAAAATATAAATAGACATTTTTTTGTTCAATTATACATAGAGATGTTATCTTTCAAAATAAACATGAAATAACGAGATAATTAAATATAACTATATAATACAAAATTTATTTTTATTAAAGAAGACATGTATTAATAAATTTTACTTTCAGTATTGTTCTTCGTCATCCCCATAAACAGACAAAAATTGTGGAACTATTACTGTCTGGTTGTGGGAGGGTTCACTCTATATACATATATGTAAGTTACTTAGAGTGCTGAAGATGTGAAGAGAAGAAAATCCTTAAGTCTGGGCCTAAAAAAGTGAGAAAATATTTATATATAAACTTGGCGCTATGATGGATGCTAAAACGTTTTTCGGTTGAGCTCCTTCTCCTTCATGCCGGAAATACACAAGGAGGGGCTGACATTCCCTGTCGGGGACGACCGCAATTAGATAATTTAACTTAATTTTTTATTTGAATTTGAACCCTGAACGCAATGCTAACCACCCGGCTACTGCGACCGCCAAAAACATTTACACATATAATAATTAAAGTGTCAATACACAAACTTACATACGTACATATTTATATATATAAATTTCTGTCCGTCTGTTTGTAATTGAACTTCTTATAAACGGCTGGACCGATTTTGTGTGTATTGAAGGGGTTTTGAGGGTGGATTAGATTCACAATTCGATCAACTAGATAATGTTTTAAGAATGAATTTAATTATTTATAAACTGTTGTTGATATTACAACGTTTTACATAGAGTTCCGGCAGACGGCACTGCAGTCATGTCCTTACTGACGGTTGTCCCGCAGAAAATACTAGCGTTTGTATAATATATTGCAGTTGTTGTTGTTGTTGTTGTAGCGGTTCGCAAACCCCGCTTAGGCACAGGTTTGATCGGTCTAAGTCACCGCGGCCATCTAGTGGTAGGTCCAGGAAACGAGCTGTTTCGACGGGGTTGGATCAAAGGGAGAGGGGGGTTAGATGAGTGGGTTTGAGGGGGCATGTGGAGAGGTGGTTAGTGTCGTGCGGAAAAAAAACAAGAAAGACTTGATAAAATCTTACTTAACTGTGTGTCGTTGTAAATTCTATTTGTCGGAACTTAAGTAATTCAATCAAAAATAAATTAGACTGTTTCTAGTAAAAAATAATTGAAGGAAAATGAGTGCGAGTGAATGATAATGAAAAATTGGATGACCGCGTAATTGGTGTGGTCAGTGCAGATGAAAAGTGTGCTCATACACTCTTATATGTGGGGAGTAAGATGTGGCCGAGAGGTCAAGTGAGAAACGTTGTCAAATGCAGAAAAAGTCGCTTTTGATATTAAAAACGAAAAAAATTTAGCTTGAAGCATTTGACATGGGCAAAGGCTGCATGTAATAAGTTGTGCGAAATTCACCAGCCAAAAGTGCCGGGCGAAAGATGTTGTTATTCAAAAAACTCTTGCACCTCAGTATGCCAAAAGGAAGTATAGTTGCAGAACATTTATATGAGTTTAGTGTTGTCTGAGAAAATCTTGCTGCAATTAAAGTAGAAATTCCCGAGTGAGTGTTGGTCATTATTTTGTTATCTAGCTTACCAACCCAATAGGAAACCTTTGTCGTAGCAATTGAGACAAGGGACGCATCGCCATCATTCAATGCATTAAAAGTGAAGTTGTTAGAAGAGGGTGCGCGACAATGCGCAAGTGTAGAAAAATGTGAAAAAGTACAGTAGCTCTTATGCACGCTAAGTCTGGCGCGTCTGGTAATGTCCAGAATAGAAACGGCGCAAATGTTGCTAACCAAGCGAAAAAGCAAGAACAGTAAAAATTTCAAGTATTTCTGGAAGCTCCACGCTCGTGCTCGCCAGTTAAAAACAGAACGCTTGCGCACTGGCGGAGGTTCGTTTTCAGTCGAAGAGTTATCAGAGTTTGATGAACAAGCTCGTTCTGCATTTGGCATAAGTGCAGTCAATGGATTGGAATGCGTAACCTCGGGTCTATCTGTAAGTAAATCTTTTGCCATTTGTTAAATATATACAAAACTTTAAGCTTCTGCTTGCTTAGGGCATATTCTCAACTACTGAGACTCCATCACCAGTAAGCGAGGAGGAAGCATATCTGTTTGAGGAAACTCTTATCGAGTCGCCCAAAAAGTTAACCTTCGACCCAAATGCATCCAATATTGCCTCAGCCTGTGATGCATTGCCTTCGATTGCTCCTACCACTTCTCGTCAACAAAAAGTGACAAAGGATGCGATTTATAAGATGATGGCTAAAAATATGCGGTCTCAAAGGAAGAGAGATGAGCAGCTATCTTCTGCATTGAAGCAAATGGGGAAAGGGTTGGAGATTTTGGGCAATGCAATCTTCGAATTAGCCGAGTATTAGTTATTTTTTTTTACTAGCTATGTTTACGCGAGGAGCATAAATCCTTGCATAACTTTGGGCGCTGGCTAATTGCTTCCTGTTATTTGGGTTTTTGCATTCATGCATATATGCAAGAATGCAATTCTCAAATGATCAGCGAAGTGATACGGCTAAAGTGTTCATTGTTTGCAACGGAATTCATCTTCGTGATATCTGACTATCTGATCTGTTTTGCGTCTTCCTATCCGTGCTCAATTTAGTTGAGTTGTATGCAATTGGCGTCTGTGCAGCGTCAGGTGCCTCCTATGGCATTGGGTAAAAACCACGTATTTTTGAAACGAACCTAGTGCTCAACTTGAGTACATTCAAACATTCTCCTCCACCCGCTTAGACAGCTACATAAGCGAATCTTTTATTTATTTTTACCACATGAATTGCATTAAGTTTTTTAAGTGTTTGTCTAGAAGACATTTTTGTTTGTAGTATTAAACTTTATGTAAATATGTATATAGCCATTCCTGAATATAAAA